CTAACCCACCCAAGGGGAGGGTATTGTTTATACCTCCACAGGGAATGAGGGACCAACCTTCAACCCAGTGCTCCAAGATGTGAATGCAACATGCCGGCAAGGAGTAGGGAACTTATTTCAGAAGACAGCACTGAAGCTGCAGCTCAGGGAGAGAGGCATGTCTGATCAGAGAACATGGAAGCAAATGAAGGGGGAGGAAAAGACAGTGGAGCAGATCCTGGCCTACCAAACCTTGAGGACGAGATTAATGCTCAGAGTAGCCAATCCACAGAGAAGACCATAAGACCAGCCCCAATAAGAGACACGACATCCCTCACTGACCCATAGCCTTACAGGGGACAACAATGGACACACTGTGTGGGAATTCCGCCCCATCTGATCCCACCTCACTGAGGCAAAACCCTAAGGGCATGGAACAGAACAGCAAGGAGAACAGAGGAACCAAGTCCCCAGGGAATACTGAAAATAGACTTTGGGGCCAGGGTTCGGCGCCCGAACAGACTCGACTGGAATAGATTCCAAAAGGCCAACAAACAGTCCTTGAACTAACTACAACCTTTTCTTTCTTGTTGTTGTGTTTTGTTATTTGTAATTGGCTTGTTGCTATTGATGTTGTTTTGTTTTCTTTTGTTGCTTGGTTTTGCTCTTGTTTTTGTGTATGTTATTATCTCTGCAAGTCTGTCTAAATAAAATAGGCTGGATGAACAATCTGGAGGAGAAAACAATGGGGCCAATGGTTCCAGGGGACATGGGAGAGGAGGAGGTAGCGGGAAAGGAAGTGGTGTTAACAAACCCTGGGACAAGTGAACAACAAGCGATCCAAATCGGTGGTGAGCAGGGTGTAGGAGGTCTGGTAGGGTGTGATCAAGGGTCATGTAACTGAGAGGAATTACTGTAACCCGAATGAAGGCTGAACATGATAGTGGGACAAGAAAAAAGTAAAAAGTAAATAGAGGAAAGAGCTCGGAGGCAAAGGGCATTTATAGAGGTCTCAATAAAGGCATGCACATATGCATATATATTTATATATGATGGGGAAATAGATCTATGTGCCTATATTTATAGGTTTAGTATTAAGGTAGCAGAAGGACATTGGGCCTCCATTGGGCCTCCACTCAAGTACTCCCTCAATGCAAGAATACTTTCTTCTATTAAATTGGCATTCTATGATGCTCACCTTCCCGACACGATCACTGAAGACAAAGCAGGTTCATAAGCAAATGTGGTG